TCCCACCCTAACCCGCACATCCCTGGGCACTACGGGACAATTTAGCATGGCCAATCCCACCCTAACCCGCACATCCCTGGGCACTACGGGGCAATTTAGCACGGCCAATCCACCCTAACCTGCACTGAGATAGAGAGATTTTTAATCAGGAGCGGGGATCGAGGGGTTATGGGGAAGAGGCAGGAAAGTGGAGTTGAGGCTGATCAGATCAGCCCCAATTGCATTGAATGGGAGAGCAGGATAAAGGGGCTGAATGGACTACGTCTGATGGAAGATATGGAGAGAGACACTGGGGGAGAGAGGGAGATAGGATTTCTGACCTGCTGCCCACCATTCTCCTTTTCACATGTACCGGTGTTGGGGGGGGGGGGGGGGGGAGGAACCTTCCTCTCTCTCTCGTCGCTCCCCAAGGTCTGAATATTGCCGGGCGTTCCAGAGACCGTTTGGCCCTGTGCTCCCGTGATTGTCTCAAAATGGGCCGTGGTGAGACTCGAGGCTCGAGTGCCTGATGGCTCGTTGGCTCGTTAGCCCCTGACGCCGACAACCGCTGGGCAGTGAGTTGGGTAGCGTCACCGCCCTGGCACCGTGCCCCGTCTCCGTAAACAGGGTAGAATCGGCACATCAGGAAGTTTCAGCAGCGCGGGCTTGAGTACCTGTCTGGGCGACTGCGGCTAGTCCTTCTGAGCTCTGTCTCTCTCCGCCCGCCTCCGTACCTCCCCCGTTCCCTCTCCGGCAGGTACCTGGAATACGTGAGGATCCCGCACACGGATCCCGTCGAATACGAATTCCGTTGGGGTCCCAGGGCTACAAAAGAAACCTCCAAGCTGAAGGTCCTGGAGTTCGTCGCCAAGGTAAACCGCTCAGGGTTTTGTGGAACACGTCGATTTTCGGGAGTCCCAGTTCCCCCCCCACTGCCGCCCGTGATGCGGGATCCTCCTGTGCACCATCCGTTAATCTTCTCCCCTCCCTTCCCCAGATGCACAATGACCAGGATCCCAAGACGTGGCTGACACAGTACAAGGAAGCCCAGCAGGAGGCGGCAGCGGCTCCGAGGAACTGACCGGGC